AACAAAATGAGAAGGTAGAAACAAAAAAATACAGGATATCTTATACTGTAAGTTTTCTAAATTTTTTCCGGTAAACACAAACCGACTACTAATATTAATCACTCATATTAATATAAGATTAAAATTTTCATTAATAAGTACTCATTACCCATGATATTACCCGTTCATTAACACTCAGCAATAAACCTAAATAATTCAAAAAGCTTTTAATTAAGATAATTTTCTAACGTATTAGTTTAGGACATAAGTATGTTAATATTTTTATGTAGAGCATAAAAAATTACATCAACTGTTCCAGTCAAAAATATAAGTTTCCATTAAAATAAAAAATACAGTTGGATTTTTCTGACGATCCGATCGATATAATTACATAAAATTATTTGCATATTATGCACCATTTAATACCATTTAACTACATTTAATACTAATTAACTTATAATATTTTTTTCTGTTGTCAATCGTTTAAATTGTAAGAAAGGTTAATACCTTCCAGTTGTGTGGGACACCTTGTATACTATTTATGTGATAATTTTAATTTCTGCTTTGTATGTCAAATGTTAACGAGACTGCCATGTATAAATGACTCATATCGGTCTATTTATGAATTTCCTGAGGCTATGTTCCACTGGAAAGAAGTGTGCGTGTGTGTGTGTGTGGCACGTGTGCGGGAGCATGGTTTTTGTTCTGTCTCATTATCGGCTCAGTTCTTTACTTCACACGCTCTGATGCAGTGAAAAACATAACGTAATTATCTAAATATATACACCGATAAAATGAATTCATAGAAGTATAAACAGTATATTACTTAATGTATTTTTAATTCATTTTTTTTCGTACATATATATGTCAAGCGATATTGATTTAATGTTGAGTAATCTCGTATCACCTTTCGCTGTGATTTCAGCATAAGTATGGACCTTATATAAAGTATAACCATGTCTCTCATATGGGTGTATAAACTTTTCTAAGTTATACATTTTTCACGTCTGTACTAATCGAATAATAATCAGACTCATATCCGATTATAGTAATTAGTGTTAGTAAGTTATGAATTCATGCTTTGTAATTCTGTTCTTCCTTCTACTTATCATTGTTCTTATTATTATATTATTATTATATTAATAATAATAGTAACAGTAATAATATAAATTGAATATTACTATACGAGAAACCATAACAAAAATAGTATTGATCTTAACTTATAGAGAATATGGAAATGAACTCGTTTTTTGATTTATATAAAAATGTATATATTTACTAATTATTATTTTTGGTAAAATGATTGACAAATTTAAATATATATTTTATATAACTCTGTTATTAAATAAATTGTATCATTGTTGTGTCCTATGTAAAACTAATCATCAAGAAACGCACATCAATCATAAGAGATTAAATAGTAACGTCTTACTAAACTATCAAATAAGTAGAAAAAAGAATAAATTAGTCAATTACATTTGCTTAAATCTATACAATAAAAAAATAACTGACGAAATATCGTTCAGTTTCTAGACGAATCTAAACGCTTGTCAATGTGCTTATAAAATTGATGTCTCATATTGCTTATAAAATTTAAGGCTCTAAAATATAAAGTACAAAAGAAAGTATAAATTTTTTCTAAAATTCAACGATATCTTAGAAACTGAAATTCATTTGAATGAACGGCTGAACACCTATTTCATTATTTTTGCCATAAAATCATCTATCGAAAGCACCATTAAAGTATCCGAATGAGTTATAGTAATTTCATCGTGAAAATCATTTCTTTGCGTTTGAAGTGGATTCGAATATCTAAGCATCATCAATTTACACACACGAACAAGCAGGTAATCATCTATTTTGAAATCGGTAGTACAAGTTTCTTCTCTTTTGCTGAAAATTTTGAGAAGTGCCATTGTATGAAACTTTTTCTCGTTGAAAGTAAATATTTATTTTAAACGTTAAAAACAATATTTACGCCCAAAATTTTTTAAACAATTTTGATTAGCAATGCCTCATTTTAAATATGAAAGTTTAAGCAAGGATTTTGCTATTTCGAATTTTTGAAGAAGCTTTACTGTAAGAGCATAAATTATTTTCGAAAGAATATAATTTTTTTTATAGGATGATTTTAAGAAAAAATAAAACTAAAACTAACAAATTACTTGCTTGTAAATTCTTTATGATTTTCATAATTGTAAATCGATTAAAATAATGAAATTGTGCGTGTAGAGAGGACGGTATGCTACACGATCATGTCCTACCGCAAAGGGAAAGAGGTCAATGTTATCTAATTTATTTACCTATCTACCTGATTTTACTGCTTATTATTAGTAGAAACGCGAGCTTCATACGAACATATTTCTGTCGTGAAAACAAAAAGAAATGGGTTAAATGGGCATTTAGGGCCACGCCAAGTAATTGGGGAAGGAGGAGAACATTTTCATATACTTTTGATATATTAATATATTTTAATATTATATAACAATTTAATTAATTTAATAATACATTTTTTTTAATTTATTAACATACAAACAAATACGGCGAACATTTCGATCTTTTCTTTGGGTAACCATAATGTAAAATATAATAAAAAAATTGACCTATAATTAAATACAACATGCGCTATGGTTTACAAACCCTTGTAACGTTCCGTATATGCATAAGAGATGTAAAATAATCAACACGTGGCGTTGAAGAGGTTCACGATACAATCTGGAGGAATTATTTTTTCGAACAGTTCGGACATTTGTTTTGTTTTGACTTGATATTTCGTTATTTATTAAATAATTTGTTGCTTTTAGAATATTTATGCCTATTTCTATGTATTTTGAAGTAGTAGACATTTTTGTAAAGCTTATTATTACTTATTGAGGGCAGTTAAAATTATAAATCTTAGGTAGATACACAACAAAAATTTTAAACGGATTCTTAACCTGTAAGAATGTCACTATTAAATCACTAAAATAAAAAATCTACGATATTAAAATTCAGAAAAATCAAATGTTCCATAGAAGATTCAATAAAGATTTTAACAGAATTTTTCTAGAGTTTGCTAACATTCCAATTAAAAATTAACAAAAAGAAAGAAAACTGAGTTTAGTCATTGCAAAAGAGAGATTTTTTTCAATCGAATGGCAATACAACTTTTTTTTTTCTTTTTTAATTTTCTTATCTTGATGTAAATATATTATTGCAGCTTGTTATTTTTATAAATGAATGAATTTTATGATATATGTATTTTTATTATTCCAGTTATTCAATATTATTTGTTATGATTTTATATTTTTTTCTGAATGAATTGCAACACTATGAAACGATTAGATTGAAATTTATGTTAATTATGTTTGAAAACACAAATAATAAATTGTTTCAGACGATCAATTATTAAGCTTTTTTAATATGTAAAACTGAAATGTTACAACTGCGTATGTGATAATTTTGCAAACCGTTTAGTATTAATGTTAAATGATTATTGCCATTCGACATTAACAATTCTTTAGTAACTTCTTAGAGTGTTATTTACAATTAATAGAATGTTCAGCAATTTCTTGACTTTTATGAAGATTCCATTTGTCAAGTTCAGTATAATCACGTAGGTTTGAAAATAATAAATACGAAGAATTTCAAAGTTTAACCCTTTTATATATTTAATTAATGTATATAAAAGTTCATAATTTTATCGACACAAAATCTTAATTGTTACTTCGCATACGAAATATTTCTTGTTTTTTAAATATAGGTTATGATTCCTATATTGTAATAGTATTAATACAAATAATATTGAAATATTTTTCTACATAAACCCAGTACAAATATTACACATTGCTCCTGAAAGTAGGCTTCTCCCTATACAATATTGAAATTAAGATTATATACTCTATTATAATAAGAGATTAAATGATAAATTATTAAATTTAAAAGATTTGGAGGTGTTCTTTTTTGTTAGGGGAATCGGTATAGTAACTGATAATCCACAATAAGATGAAATTAAAAAAATTTTAATTTATGTATGCTATTTTTGATATTTAATTAATATTAAATTAAATTAATTTTTTTTTATAAAACTAATTCAAGTCAAAATATATAGTATTATTAAGATTTTATACAAATTACATTTATATCAATTAATTGAAATATAAAGTTTCATTTTTATATGAAATCAAATTTGACAGTAAAATTAAATAAATTAATTAACTTAAATACAAATTAAAATATGTGCAAATTATCTGTCATTTTTAATAAAATATTCTATCTCAGAAATTTTAAATAATATCTATTGCAGTTAGGTATTACAAAATATTTTCTATTCAACATCGAGCTAACAATCATTAAGTTAATTTATTAAATTAATTAAACTGTTTTTATTTAATACATTTAAGAATCCATTTATAAAAATAAAAAAACACGAAAAGGAGAAGGAAATAATTGCAAAAGAAGAACTTTCCTCGCTGAAGCCCTGTTCAGTTAGATACGAAGATTCATCCACACAAAATGGATAGAAATTCGCGTCTCGAACAAATCGAAAACTTTGCTTTGACCAATACACTCTCGCCCAATCTTGAAAAAGATCAGCCAAAGGCTTTCTATATCCTACAATCAAGAAAGACGGCAAAGAAAGGTTTATAACAGCTAAAAAAGTTACGACCACTCTCTCTCTTCTCTCTCTACCGAAAGATCCAGGGACTTTCCTTAGAGTAATTTGAGATTACTGACGAACTAACTCCGTTAGTGGCTCCGAAGCGACATACGAAGAAACTTTGTTACTATTAATCTAAGAAATGTATTATATAGGAATAGCAGACCATCTGAGCACTTGTGAGAAACGTAAGTGACTCTCAATTCCTACCTAACTTTGCATTTTATTCGAACAATCATATAATATATTTTTAATCTAATACAGAATGATTCATAATTTTAATATATTTCATTACTTATGGTTGACTTTATAATTTATATATATTTTGTATATTCAGACACAAAATTAGAAATTTTTCAAAGAACTTAATCAACATGTGTACGAGAAAATAAAGTAATATATTAATAATCATTGAGATACTTTTGAAATGACTTACATCGAAATATATATGCACAGAAAAAATACAAGTCGAATGTAATTAATATGAAATACTATAAAATAAAAGAAAGTACCTGTAGGTTTGTAATAAAAAATTATTTATGCTTATTTTCTGACAATCCAAACATTCTCATAGTTTATTTCTCTTCCTACATATTTATAAGAAATAGTGTAGGTCAATCGTTAACAATTAATAAAATTTAAAGAGTAAAAATTGATTAAATATGACACAAATATGTATATATTAATAGATTTACAGAGTTATGAACCGACTGGAAAGATTCATTTCAGACATTCTTTAATTAAGATTGTTGACTACTGAATTAAAACTGATTGCCCTTTCCTTCTTCTTCTTCTTCAGGGATAAAACACTGTTCCTTTAAAAGAAGCAATTGCACGGTGGAAACACAGAGGAAAAGTATGAGATATATCAAGATGTGGCAATATCACATCAGTATCATGAATTTATCGTAATTTGGAAAAGCGTGTCAGCAGAGGTGCAAGTGCATATAACTGAAGATGTTTACTAAGCCTACAACAGAAATATTATCATATAAAATTGTATTTAATAGTTCTAAGTATATTAATTTTTTAAAGTCTTTAATGGGTCTAATATTATTGCTTTTAATACCGACAGTGCTATACCATTAAATTTAAAAGAAATGCTATATGTATATAATATGTTTTATTATTTTGGATGAGGTGATAAACGAAAATATATTTCTCTGTGAACAAAGGAATAAATCTTTATTCATTAATTAACAATTATTTGCTATTTACAATCTTACCTGTGAACAAAGAAACGACTATTTATGTTTATTATTTACACTACTTAAATTTTATTTAATATATTATCTTTATAAAATTTCTCTGTAATCTCCCATGCATAGGTCCTATTTCCTAATGCCCGTTTTTCATCAAAATCTTAATGGTTCGACTTGTAATTAACAAAAGTCAATCGAAGGATGGGACATAAGAAGCGTGGCAAATCTAACTCAAGAAAGTATACTTTCTTTACATGCATATATACATAAAACACATATTTAGAGAATTTCAAAGCCGATTTTTCCTTTGACATTCTCTTTCTTATAGACATTTCACTACTCACGTTTTTCTTCTTGTTTACTTTCTACCTTTGTTGCATAATTTTAGGTTTCTTCCTCTATTCCTAATTTCACTTCTCCCACAAACTACGATTATAAATTTATTAAATGTATAAGGAAATATAAATGTTGATAATCGTATTAAAATTAAAAAGAACCATATATATGGTTGACATACTTTGTAGCAGAACTAATTACGATACATTATCTGTAACTTATATATCTTTTCTTGTTGCAGTTTTGTTGTCTCATACTATAGAATTTCGTATTTTCTTCCTTACGCATTTATTTCTTTGTCACAGAAGTTACCTCCTTTGTCAATTTATCCAAAAGTAGATGATTCTATAATCGTGGACGTTTCCTTTAAAAAAAAAGAGACTTTACATTAAAAAGTATTTCATTTAATCTTCGCATTTATATAGTACCCATTATATCAGTGGCCCATTTGAATATTGTATTTCTCTGAACATAATAAATTTGTGTACTTAGAATAGAGATCCTAATTAATATTAAATGGAATGATACCACTGAGAACAAATTAAGTGCCTCAATTATTTCTATAGCTACAGTTTTTTTTAATCATTTCATCAGTGAAGCAAGAGGTAAAGTATAACTCTTTTTATATAATCAATAATCGTTATCTGAGTAAACAATATGACTTTTAACTTACTTCGAGATCTATGCAAAGAAAATTAAATTTTTGGAAAATATATTCACTAATTTTATGAATTTTATGAATGAAAATCTATTTGTAATCACTCGATTACAATCCATGTTAAAATCTTGAAAGTATCAATCAGATTAGCATAACCATAATTCTCCAATGTTGCATATCTACCGAATTATAGTTTGGTCTATATCATGAAAATAACATATTAATAAATATATGAAAATTCAATATGTTTTCGTATGACAAACAAATGTGCATCTGTCGTTTCAGCTTTATCTTCTAAATATATAAAATATTTTCATTATTTAATTTCATATCATTCCATTCTCTCTTCTTTGTCTTGCTCAACTAAAGTATTATTTTCATCATCACGTTTTAATTATCGTCATTACCATCTTCGTTTTCTTTTTCACTGTTTTTAGAGATAAGCTTATTTTCATTTGCAGATAATTCCGAGTTTTCCTGGATAATTTGTTGCTGAAATTGAATATTTCTTTTTAATTGGTATAAATAAAATTTTGATTTACGAATTCATTTTTTTATTGGAATAAAGTTATAATGTCTGTTTTACAAATAAAATCGGTATAGTCTATCACATCTTCAGACATTAACTTCTTAAAGCTTTTTAAAGTTAATGTTTATTATCTTGCAATTTCTTCTAAAAAGAAAATGTAATACTTACTCTCATTTAATTTTTAACTATATATATTTTAGGAACGTTTGATGATGTATTGTTCCTTATCGAGCGATTACTAAATTCTAATAATTTTTCTCATTTATATTTTAGAACTACAATAGTCATATGTTAATTTCATGAGATTCCATTTTTGTGTCGCTTCATAAAAATACATTTCCACTTCCTCGTCGTTTTCTTCCCTTTTGCAAGCTACACAAAGAAAATACTTGTGTCATGTACATTTTCAAAAGAACGATTTAAATTATAGCAATAGGGAATATTATTAAATAATATGTAATTTTATCAAAAATTATTACATTATTAATAATATAATATAACCTGAAATATATCTTTCCATTTATGACGTGTTGATCTGTTCTTCATTTTAATATAATATTTCAAAACTGCATTTAATGATTCTAATTTTAATAATATTTTACGTCAGCAACTTTACTAATTAATTGATAACAATGGTTTTCTTTACAACCAGAACTTATATTAAGTTGAACATACATCTTTGTTAACAAATTTTTATTTTGGTTAGTAGAAGAGTGGAAGAACCAAAACAATAACTTAGGCGACACCTTGCGGTAGTAATGTGTAAGCTTATTTTGGCTGCGTTCGAGTTTGTAGTTTTTACTGGACTATCAAACCATAAGTTACCTCGAAAAATTGCTTCCTTATTTATCGACACTATGGTATCAGCCATGTTTAAAAATAGAATCGCTGAACGATATACTAAGCTCGATAATGATGCCGAGAGCGTGCCTGAAGAAGAATTACCAGAAATAGGGTAGATTTTGTGAAAAATAAAACACTATTCGGAAAATGATTTTGTTTGAAATACTTTTTAGATATAAGGTATAGTGCTACAATTAACTACAATAACTAATGTTTTCAAATTCTCCATAGCATCTTATTATTTACGTTTATTAACTTTAAAACGTCTTATTTCTGTTCGTGTTTTTCTGAATTCTTGATAAACTCAAATATTACATCATTCATTCTTATTATATTTTTGCATTTACATATTCGTATCATCAGGCAATGCAATTATGTCGCATTAATTGATTTCATATCATTCTAACAATTTTTTAATCTATTTCTGTCGATGCACATATACTTTTCGCTGATCCTATTTAACACGCATTTTTTAGAATAATTTTTGTTTTTATTTGATCTCTATTTTTCTATTAATCTTGTTCATATATCTTTTTATAAAAATGTAACTACTAGATATCAATATGAACTACAGGATAAAGAAAATTGTTCCCTACTTTGGTAAACTAAAATCATGGATTTTTTTTAAATCAATTCAACCCAACATTTATCCTTACATCTGTTAGAAATCCATTTCGACTTCTTTCAATTTATTTTTATTTATAAATACTCTTATTTATTTGGCATAAGAACGTTTTCTTTTGATCGTATCATTTCTTTTTTAAACGACAAATAATTATAAACATGATATCAGGAGACAATATTTTTATTATATTGGTATACATTTGTATATTTGTATCTTTCAATATTTAGCTATAGATTTTTTAAAATTATATGAGATATCCAGCTAAGCATCTCGATTGAAAAAGACCGTTCATAAATGTTTTTATTATGTGAGAAATATGGCACGGGAATAAAATTAATATATATTTTAGTTATTTCCGGAAGTATTTCTCGTTTTGCATAAATAAATTGACGCACTTTCATCACAATTATAAATGTTTGAAACAAGCATTATTTACTTATGCTCATATCACGTACAGATGTTGTTATCGAATGTACTCACTGTTGCATTGAACTATAAAGTTTAGTAGAAATAGGTAGCCTTTCCCTTCAACCATAGAAGGCTAAAACTATCAATGTACGCAACTCATAAGGATCAAAAACTTTACATTTAGAAATTAATTTTCAATGTTTTGGTTAAATTTATGGGATTTAAGATCAGTATGATGAATGCACTTCACAAAAATATCCAAAATAATGAATTTACCAGTAAAAATGATACGGAATTAATAAGTATTTCGGCAACAAATCTCAGTAGTTATGATTCCGAATTACGTATTTATCGAACGGATTTTGAATTATTGTCTTATTCGTTTTATCTTAATTTTTACTAAGAAAGAGAAAATCCAGTAAAAGTGATACATTTTTTCAAAGAAGTTTAGGAATGAAACTCATGGCTAAGGATTGGCCACAATTTAACATTTAATAAAAATTAAATATAAAAAATAAGTATATATTATATGCAATAAATAGCGTAGTATATAAGGAGAAAGTTCCAACCCAAATATCTGTCCGAGATATCACGAATAAAAACCGTTTAACTTTGATATATTTTATTCAAGAAATTATTGATTCGTACATAGGCGATAGTCTAAATTATGATTATATTTATTCTTCATTCTTTTGCTTATCTTTGCTTCTTTTACGGAGATCCAAACGTTACAAGCAGCCAGGAAATCACAGCACATGTGATGATAAATAGAACACAGGCGATAAGAAGTTTCAACGTTTGATGCATCAAATAAAACCTTGAAAATTTGAAAAATCAATATTATTTGAAAGTGATTGCCAATAACAGAGGGATAATGAAGTAAAAATGCAATAAAAAAGATACCTTCGCCGTTTTATACGAGCTTGTGGGAGTGTCTCAATAGGATCCTTTAAGATATATTTTCTTATACCTGAGAAGTATGTTTCAAAATAAGTATTCCAAACGAGATCCTTCATATCACAAAAGAATAATTCACGATCTTCGGGCGTCAACTTCCTCAACAATTCGTTCCATCTTTCATTCGTAAATTTTTTTTCGTTTATACAAAAATAACTAAGTAGATCTGACATTTCGTGAATTTTATTATACATTCTGAGTAACCTTGAACAAAAAGGATTATCGCCAGATGAAATTTTTCTCTTCTCTATCGTTCTAATATGCTCCCTTCAGAAAATATGATAAGAGAAATTTACCTTAGATTTTTACCCCTGCACAAAGAGATTGTATCGATTATAAGAGCTGGTATTAAATGTACAAAATATATGTAGAAAAAATAGATCGACCGATATTTTGTTATTTCAAAGATGGGGCACCAAATTGCTTTTTCAGACGGTATCAATTCTCCATACGAAACTATCATTTCTATAAATCTGCCGTAAGTCAGTGGATTGTCCTTTGATACGTAATTGTAAATGGGAATATCTTCATTGGATCTAAAAAGATTATGTATTCATACAGACGAATTAATTCAATATTTTCTAATATCATTATTTAATTTGATCCTAATAATATTGTTTCGAGTATTTGTCGTTACTTTCGATTATTTGCAATCTCCCATGCGCTAGCAATTATTCCATTGGTGGTCAAATCTCCAGGTACCAAGTCCATATTTATCGATCCATCGCAATGGAGAATTCACATTAATCCCATAAAAACATTTTTTATGATTCCTGTTGGTCCGTACATGTTGTCGACCCATCCTTGAATTGGTTCTCGATAAGTGGATATCACTAGAAATATTAAATTCATTATCATACACCATTTATTGTTTTATTCTGTAATGATTATATTACTACCAACCAATTCCTGGACGAAATATTCCAATCGGTATAGAGTCAGCATGCTTTTTTATAAAATTCTCTGCGGCTGTTTTCGTATAAACATAAGTATTTGGCCATATTCCGAGTAATCTACAATCAAACAATTCTGTGAGTGTAATTAAGTGCACTATCTATTCATTTTATATTTTTTATAAATAAATATAAAACTAAGCAATCGATATTCCGAGGTATAAACGTACTGTGGGGTAATATCGTCGAGCAATTTTTCATTTAAACAGTTCACTAAATTTATTAACTTATCGGGATCTATCGGTGGGTCATAAAATTTCTCCTCAAGTGGAATATGAAAACAATTGGTGTAAGCCGTAGATATATGCACAACACTCTGAAATTTTAAGGATAACAAAGATTCGTTAAAGTCAGATTTTGAAAAACCCTGATTGATATTAATACGTAGGACAGAGGACAAAGGTGGCACCTTCAGTTTTGACATTTCTTTGGACAAATTTATTATATCCTTTACACTTCGAATGTTGATTTCTGTCGCCAATTTTATTTTCTCGTTGAATTTAACGGTTGCGGCGACATGAAAAATAATTGAGACCTCGCGTATTAATGTAACTCTATCGACCATTGAGATATCGAGATTCGGCAAGGTACAATCGCCCTTGATTGGTACTATACGATTCTGGAATGTTGGTTGTTTCTCTCTCAAAGTGGAAAATAACTGGAAAATTGATAAAGTTGTAAATATTTTCTCTCTTACGTTCGTTATGATAAATGACAGGAAAACTACTTTTTGCGATTTTTTCCACTGGTTATGATAGACTACTACTTTGTTTCTCAAATTTCTTTATTTTATATACCAATTATAATATTTAATAGAAAGAGATAATTTCAAAGTTGTGTCAAAGGTGAAATAATAATTTACTAATCCCTGTAATAGATATAATAACTCACAGAATTTTCAGTTAGTTCTTTCATGCGTTGATGCACACTTTTTCCTTTTTTTGTACGTATCAAAAGATAAATGCAAGTGATACCGGGACATTCTCTTAACAATTTCTCGATTAATAACTTTCCTATGAAACCTGTTCCACCGGTTATAAAAATACTTTGACCACTGTAAAATTTTTGAATAGGTGTAAGTTCGTCATTATCCTCGATGGGTTGAATATATACAGGAGCATATTTAATTTCCGTAGCATCTCTCAAAGAACTTTCCGATAGGGCTGTTTCTTGTTCA